GGGACTCGATCCTGGGACTCCAGGATCATGACCTGAGCCGAAGGCAGTCGCTTAACCAACTGAGCCACCCAGGCACCCGAAACTTAATTTTTTTAACTTGTCTCCCAACTAGAATGTAAACCATATGACAGAGGCCCCAAGTCTAATTTGCCGCAGTATCTAAAATGACTAGAAGAGGGCCTGGCACATAGCTGGCCCTCACCAGACGGAAACGTACACCAAAAAACCTACTTATGTACCCACCCACCCATCTATCCAACATATAAATTTACCTTATTAAACAAGATGATATAAACAAAGGCATAAACAGACATAAATAAAATAAATGAACACCTGAGATAGTGTCTAAAGAGAAAATTACATAACACCAGTAAGACAGGGGCAGCCCAGATACAAAGACATGGTAGGAAGATTTCATATACAGAGAGAGAATGAGACTCCTACTTTCAGTGAAGCTGAAGCTTTCGGTTCTGAAACACAGGGGCTTTCCTTTATATCAGATTACCACAATTGGAGCAACCAAGCCACCACAAAATGAAGCAGCTTCACAGACCATTTCCAGGTTTTAACTTGAGAAGCTCCCTATTTATCCATTTGTTTAAAAATATTACTATAAAATGAAGAGAATTTTGATTATTTGGTCTCCAGGTGTTCTCCATAGCTCTTAATCTCTTAATTTATGACTACTTAAATTATTAATTCTGAAAAATGAGTTTGCTAAGTCAGTTAAAAGAAATAGGAGAGGGGCATCTGGGTGGCTCAGTTGGTTAAGCGTCTGCCTTTGGCTCAGGTCATGATCCGAGGATCCTGGGATCAAGCCCCATGTCTCCCCATGTTGGGCTCATGGCTCGGGGGGAGCAGGGCTCATGGCTCAGCGGGGAGCCTGCTTCTCCCTCCCCCTCCCCCCACTTGTGCATGCTCTCTCTCGCTTTCTCAAATAAAGTCTTTAAAAATTACAGAAAAATAGCAAATATTCTCTTAATGTTTGAAATTAATGAGAATAGTGGACAATTCTGCCTGGCCATTATCTATTCCATTTTCTGATAAAAGCACAAAATTTTTCTTTAGGAATCCTCCCACTGCCCCCAAATTGATTTTCAGTTCATGTAGTTCTCATAGATGAACCCCTGGTATCTGCCAAGGTCCCTCATTGGCAAATGACCCAGATTCGGTCAATGAAAGGGATGCTTAGACTTATAATTTAAACAACTGGGAAGGGAAAGCTCTTTGTTTTCTTTCCTGTTTTGTTTTTGTTTGTTGTTTTTTAGTTCTAAAAGCTATGTTGTTTATTAAGTGTTTAATCCTTTAGAGCTGATTCCCATTTTATCCTCTGGCAAACCCTTAAGCTGAAGAAGTTCTTCCTTACATCTAATCTAAATGTCTTTTTTTTTTTGTATAGCTGACACAGGGAAAGCTCGTTCTATGTAAGAACTAAACTGGTAAGATGTAAGCATAGTCCAGAAGCTACTATGTCAAATAGAGGAGGTGAGAGACAGAGAGGCATAGTGCCTGGAAAACATATTTAACCCACCTGAAGCTAGCTTTTCCCTGAGTATACACCTGGTCTTTTCAGTTACTGGAATCAAATTTTCTTTTAATCACTTGAAAAATTACTGTTATAATGAAGTCTTTGATTCACAAATTTTCTAATCTATCTATATCGAAGACTACTAAAGAAACACAGCAGGATATTCCAGCACCACAAGAGATACACTGCAAATGACTACAACTCACACTAAAGCAGGAAAATCTGGCAGTGGAGCAGCTTCCAATAATATTCCCAGTCCAGACTGTACTTGTTCTCTATTATCTGATGTTAAAGCAAAAGCCAAGGGAGTAATTAGGCGTGGATCCTAAGCAAATCAGAAACCAGAAAACAAGAGGCACAAAGAATAAATAATGTCAGGATTTTTAGAGCAAGGTGAGTAAACAGAGCTAAATCATAAAATAATTCTAGCAAATTCTGAAAGGTTTCTATCTGATGTTTGAATGTATTTATTAGCCTTTACTTTGTTATAATTATCTATGAAGTCAATATGAACACTAGCTTTAAAGAAATCTGGCAAAAGTTTTGTTATACCTATGAAAATCACATCTTAAATATTTTGATGAATTTAAAATATCATCCACAACTGACTGATGTTTTGAATTATTGTTTTACTTTTCTAGCTACTCTTAAAAGAAAATCTGGCTCTAAGAAAAAACTGTTAATCATTTCCAATTAAAGTCAAAAATAAACGTAAAATTCAAATTAACTAAAAAAATTCTAATTCAGTAACTGAAACAACTATACTTAAAGCATAAGTCCTTCATGTTAGTAAATATTTTACATTAGTACTGTAAGCCCCAAATCATTTATTCTGAAAAACATCTCCTAATTGACACAAAATCAGTTTTGACCCAATTTTTAAGTTGTTAACAGAGAAAAAATACTAAAATATGAATCCTTTACAGTTATCTACATTTTACAATGTCGAGTGTCTTGTAAGTACTCAAGTATAATCTTATGCCACAAAACCATGTTAAGAGCTGGGCTTTATCTCCATAACCCTCATGGTACTTCGTAACTGCTCCCATGGAGGGGGATTCATTATTTTCACTCTGTAGTTAAGGAAGCTAGAGCTCAGACAAGTGAAATAGCTTGCTCAAGTCTGCACTGACTTGACTGACTGATGGAGTCAACATCTGAACCCCATCTCTTAAGCATCACGCTCTCCAAAGTGTACAAGTGGCTCCTGTGTAAGGTTTCAGTTTTGGCTCCTACCCTGTCTATACAGACCAGAGCCATCTTTGTTTATTATAGTAACTCAATTCACACATGTTTGCTAAGTATCTATTATAATCAGGTTTTGTGGCTATCCAGGTAAACATTAGAGCTCTTATTCAGCTACCATCATCGAAATTTGTTACTCAGCTATTCTCTGAGGTAACACCCTCTCTAATCTTATTATCACTAACAATCAAGTCCTTTTCTTCCAGATGTGTCCCTTATCCCCTTAATACCCTACATCATCAATCCCAACCAAAAACTCTTCACTGCAATGCTACTAGAAATAAACGAAGAAACCTAAAGTATGACATGAGAAAGGAAAAAGGCTGAGGAAGCTCTACTATCATGAACATCCTATACATTACAGTCAGAAGCATTTCTGTTCAATTCCTGCAAAACTATGTAAAATTACCGTGTAGTGGGAACATTATGGCTACTTAAGGCAATTAACTTTCTTCTGATGGCCAATTCTAAGAGAAACATTTTCTAAAGATCAAGAATATTAAAACAGAAACTCACACATTAGGTAGCATTTATGTATGAATAAACTTCAATATTTGAAGAGTTTAAACTCACCTGAAGGATTTTATAGAAGCTTACTTCCATACCAGGAACCAACTGTTTAAGTTTGTTCATCAAATCAAGAGTTTTCAAAACTACATCAGCAGCAAGTTTGCTTAAAATAAATCATATTTAAATTAGATAACTAAAAAATTGCTTAGAACTTTATTTCTGTCCATAATTCTAAAGAAATTCTGAAAAAATAAACACCTGTTTTTAAACCTCAGGAAGATAAAGTACTGTTTCTTTTGAGAAGTAAAAATACAGTAGAGACCAACATCCTTATAACCTAAGCCCCCAAAAGAACAAATTGGCATTAATAGTCTAAATTCAGACAGTGTTTCTTTTTCTAATCTCAAATACCACCAAGCTTCCACTTTCTGCACCAAATTACTAGCAGCATCAGCAACATGACCTATTTAATTCTTAGCTTTGTCACTGGAATATCAACAATAAAGGGCAACTTAAGCAATACAGAATACCTAATATTTACCAAATAAATTATACGAAGCCATGTTCTTAACCTCGTACCACAAAGGGAGTACAAAAAAGTAAAAAAAGGTAATCCTTGTTCTTGAGGAGCACAATTATTGACAATAATGTCATTTATGGAAATTGGAACAAATCAATGTCTAGCATTCAGATCCTCAGTAAAGATTTGTTAACAGACTTAATGTGGGAGGGGAGGGATAAAATACTCTCTCTCATCACTGTCAGAGAAAATTCACCCTTAAACCATTAAGTCTTGACATGCTTAGGAAAAGAACTGTCTTTGTCAGTAGGAAACCTTCCTAGTAATAAAAAAAATGACCCCCCTGTTTTTTCACACTTTTTTGCTTAAAACATAAAATTACTGAGGCAATGTCAGAAAGAACCTCCAGAAAAGGGAGTACAAAAGACCCTTAGAGAATCACAATAAATTAAAACACAAAACAAACCTAAACAATGAAAAACACATCACAGATGTTAAGATTATTCTTTCTCTGAAGCATGTAATCTATGACTTGAATGAATTTTTTAAAAATTATGAAAAAACTTGTTAATTCTCTGCTACATCTTGGGTTAATAGTGCATATCCAAGGATTACCCTCCAAAAGAGGAGAGAATCACTAGATCTTTTGATTTTTATGTTTGGCGTTACCATTTTGCCATCTGGATTTCATACACTCACCACAAGTCAGAATCTGCTACCTTTGTTCCAAACCCCAGATCAATCTTGCCATACGTAAATTGTTGTTCTATCAGAGTGGTACATTTGATAGTAGTCAGAGTTTTTGCAACATGCATTTTTAGAGTATCATCTCCACACAGAGGTAAGTTTTGTTAAGGAATTCAAACAAAAAATTCTCAACCTTATATTTGTATAGCACTTCACAGTATTTAGAGTGATTTCATACAAATTATCATGTTACTGCACTTCTATATAGTAGTCATTGCTACATTAGCTCAATGACAGATTAGGAAACTAGAGCTCAGAGCTTAAATGATTGTTAAGTAGCAAAAGATGGGACTGACACCACGTCTGTTACTCTGCTGGATGTTAGTAATTTGTTAGCAGGTTATTACAATGGTTCAATATTTGCTGAACTAAGAGAAGTTATTTTTTCCTATTTTGTAATATTACAAGTTAATTTGAGTACCATTAAAAAAGGGTCAAATTTGGCTCAAAATGGTACCAATTCTGAAGCCTGCATATATTACAGATATCTTTACTACAATCAAGCAAAATAATCATGTATCTCTACAGCAGTGGTTTTCAACTTTAGCTGCATGTTAGAATCACATGGGCAGTTTGATCAATCAATCAGCATCTTCCCCCACCCCCCACCAGGGTTTCACATTACTCCAATTAAATTAGAATTGCTGGAACTGGGGTGCCTGGGTGGCTCAGTTGGTTAAGCGACTGCTTTTGCCTCAGGTCATGATCCCAGGGTCCTGAGATCGAGTCCCATATCGGGCTCCCCCTGCTCTGCGGGGAGCCTGCTTCTCCCTCTGTCTGCCATTCCCCCTGCTTGTGCTTTTTGTCAAATAAATAAAATCTTTAAAAAAAAAAAAAAAAAGAACTGCTGGAAGTAAGGTTCAGGTGTCAGGATTTTTAAAATGTTCTCCAGGTAATTCTAATACATAATCAGGATTGAGAATCACTGCTGTAGGGAAGAGGAAAATTAAGGAGCAGAAACACCAAGAAGAGAGTAAATAGATGTGGAATTTGCTCTAGGGCCGGAAGAAGTTGAGCAAATTCTTGTTGCTGAGATATAAGGAAACTTGACCAGGTAAATATAAAAGATCTGGTTGAGATATAATGGCTCCTTGCTGATAATAATAAAAACGCATTAATGAAATATTTTAAAAATGGGACTTGGGCTTCATAAAGACTTAGAATCAACTGATCTAAAAGAAAAAAGCTAAGATCTAAAAGAAAAGACCTAAGAAAATCTGAATACGGAAGCTAGGCAGTGACACTAATTGAACTCAAGGTTTTCTTTTTTTGTAATGAATGAATTTGTCTTGATATTATTTGTCTTTTTTAATAACCTAGTATGATATCATCTTTATTAAAACATTTCTGGAGGCTTTAATTTTCAGTAAAAATTATAATATAAAGCTAAAATACTAACGATTCTACCAATGTTTGTTTAGTCCCTGATACACTGAACCAAAGATGGCACAACAAATCATCCAGAGATAGCAATTAGGATTCGAGAGTAACACAGCAGTTATTTTAAGAATGTATCTCTTGACCTCAAATTGCAGTAAAAATGTTCAAATCAAGTTTTAAAAGCATTCTGAAATGAAAATATTCTTTAGTTTAAAAGTTTTACACAGAAAAATAAGGGGAAAAAGTCTGGACAACTTTTTTATAGACTCCACATTGAGAATTAGTTCTATAGTTTAAACTCTAATTCAGTAATTCTGAATGGATATATAAGCATGAGAAGTGACAAAATTACAAATAAAAACAAAAATGCAGTAAAGGTAATGCTAGAAAAAAATGAGTGGTTAGTTTCCATGTTTTAACAGTAAAGGATATTTAACAAAACTTCAGTGGCCTTGACCATCCTTTCACATTTTCTTTTTAATAAGGCTTCATCTAGATTTTGTTCTGTGAACTGCAGTTGATCAAGGATTGTAGGCAGCAGAAGGGTCACAAAACGGTCAGCTGAGGAACAGTTAGCAGTATCTATAATGTCCTGGAGAATTAACCACCACCAATGATGAAAAATAGAGATGGAATACAGAACGCAGACACAGTCATCACCAAGCAGCAACGTTCTCATTAAATCTCTTATAATTACTTCAATATTTAATTGACCTGTGTCTCCTATTTAAAACCTACCCTTTTATACAGTTTTGATGGCTACAATGACTTTTTTCTTAAATGGAACAATAAGGTTTTAAGCTATTCAAATGCAAACAAGACTTTCTGGTGGACTGTGTCCATGATTTGAAAACCAGTATCCTAAACTTGCTAAGTGAAATTACAATAATTAAATAACCACCACCGGTCTTAATACTTTACAACTATGAGTAATTCCCATCAAGAATCTGGAAGAGTTTTTTAAATGCTAAAACTGGTTAACAGTCAAGACCAACATAAAACAGAAAGTAATTTTACTCAGCCATCAGAAAGGATGAATACCCAACTTTTACATCAACATGGATGGGACTGGAGGAGATTATGCTAAGTGAAATAAGTCAAGCAGAGAAAGTCAATTATCATACGGTTGCACTTATTTGTGGAACATAAGGAATAGCATGGAGGACATTAGGAGAAGGAAGGGAAAAATGAAGGGGGGGAAATCGAAGGGAGAGATGAACCATGAGAGACTATGGACTCTGAGAAACAAACAGGGTTTTAGAGGGGAGGGGGGTGGGGGGATGGGTCAGCCCGGTGATGGGTATTAAGGAGGGTACGTACTGCATGGAGCACTGGGTGTTATACGAAAACAATGGATCATGGATCACCACATCAAAAACTAATGATGTATTGTATGGTGACTACCATAACATAATAAAAAAAAAAATTAAAAGAGAAAAAAGTAATTTGTGCATCACCTTTGACGAATATATTTAATCACTCATATACATTTTTGTTTGTGCATAGGATCCAGTCATGAGGGGAAATACTCTAAGAAGATATTGTGGTAGGCAGAATGGGTACAAAAACAGAGACAATAGTAGAGAATGCTAAATGACCTAGATAGTACAATCTACCAGAATGTAATGGACTCTAGGGAAAGAATTTCTGTCTGTATCCTAATTGCCTAGCAGTGTCTGGCATGTTCCACTCCATCTTAGTGACTGAATCAAATGTTGCTATTTTAATCCACTAATAGGCTAATAAAGAAATTAGACAGTATCTACCAAGATGGTGAAAGAGAATGTGACTACTGCAAGAAGTATAGGCAGACAACAACAAGCTGTACAAATCTCAGCTAATACCTTTACTTATTACACTGAAAGGAGTATATATGAGCTATTTGGTGCAAAAAAAGAAAACACCAATGTTCCTGACTTTCCCCAAAAAAAGGAAATTCAGTAGCTGAATGAAAGGGAGTTAGTTAAAAGTTTTCCTAAAGTGTATAAACAATTAGAAGTTTATTGTGGACGTTTTTGAAAGTAAACTCTTCACTGAGAATCATTAAATGGAAAAGTCAATTTGTCTATCATTATATTACCTCAAATATTTCCTTGAACAACTCCAAGGCTAAAATAGAACAGTTTTCTGAACCATCCAGAGGTTGGCTTGACCAACGAAGTAGAGACACAGTAGGTTCTAAACATTTAGAACGGCTTCCCAGAATGGTGTTGCCAGATGGAGACTGTTCAAATATCATCTGAGTGAGCACGTGGCGCAGCTGAGTCACTGAACAGAAGGCAAGAAGTAATTCTAAAACCTGTGCAATATAAAGTCTTCGTTAAATGTCAATTTCATTGGCCTTTAATGTACAAAGCAACCAAGTGATGAAGCTGAAAATGACACATTTTTAAAGAAGATACTCTAAAACAAAAATTAAAGAAAGCTTCCAATTTTTCTTTCAGTAATATTTTTCAAAATGCGGGATTAGGTACTATAAGGTTACAAAGAAATTTGTTAATGGTAGTTACTCCTAGTAAGCAGGACTATGAGAGCCAAAGAAAGGAGGGCAACTTCAACTAATATCATATGCCTTCTATAGTACTTAAATTTTTTTTCAAAGCACAGATGTTTTGTTTTTACAATGAAAGAAGAAATTAAAAAATAAAAATTAGAAACTACAAACACTTGCTATCATGCTGAGATTCAAGAATTCCTATAAAGCATACTTTAGGATAATACTGAAAAGTGGTATTCCCAAGCTTTAAAACCTTAAGTATGGCTATTTCCACATTGTTTGCACATTGTTGACTTTATACCTGTTAGCTCCTCTATTCTACCTCAGTTCTTTACCTCATAAATTGGGCCTTTATAACATCACATAACATCCCACACCAACCTATTTATTAGCTAAATTAAATTCTATCTCATTTCATATACTACCAACCTAACCTATCATTAAAAAAAATTATTGGCATCTCTTTGCCTATCCACTTACTTTCTACCTTTATCTGTATTTTTATAAATGACATATAATGGGGATTTGTGTTTTGATCAACTTGATGGCATTTGATTTTAATGGAATTCAGCCCATTAGCATTTACTATGTAACAAATGATAATCTTTGATTTATTCATTTTCAAATATAAATTATAGTACTTATTTATGAATACATAATACATTTACTTGGTTCCATGGCCAAACAAAGCAGCCTGATCTCTAGCTACACTCCCTGAAGGCAAGCAATGTTCTCAGTTTCTCTTTCCTCTTACCAGAGACATATTATACCCATATAAGAAAATACCTTCTCAATATACACAAGTATAATGTACAGAAGTAAACTAATCAATCACTATTATAAAGGTGGATGGTTTTTCCAAAGTGAACATACCGGTGTAACTGGCAACCAGAAGAATTCTACCAAAACTCCTGGAGTCCCTTGCGTCCCCGCCTAGACAATGCCTCAAACACTCCTCTCCGTCAGATTTCTGACACTGTAGATTAATTTTATCTTAGCTATTCTTGGATCTTTGCATTTCCACATAAATTTTTTAATCAGCTTGCTAGTTTATATAAAACAAGTCACATGGAACTTTATATATAAATAGAACCTTACAGTGTATATATACCCTTGCTTCCATCTGATTTCTTTAGCTTAGCATTAGGTTAGTGAAATTCATCCATACTATTGCACACAGTTGCCATTCACTCATCCTAATTGCTATGTAGTACTCTAATGTATAGATGTATCACAATTTATCTACCCATTCCACTACTGATGGCATCTGGATTGTTTCTAATTCCTGCCTAAAAGGAATAGTACAGCTATACATGTCTTTTGGTGAACATATATATTTAATTATTTGGGGTAAATACTTAAGAGTGAAATCGCTGGCTCATACTCTATGCACGTGTCCAAAATTTCTAGGTAATACCTATTTTCATAAGCGGTTGTGCCAATTTTCAGCCCCTGAGTACTACAACCTTATGGGTTTTTTATATTCTCATCTATATTTGATGCTATTCATTTTTAATTTTAACCACCTGGTGGGCACATAGTAGCATCACCTTATTTAAATTTGCATTTCCCTATAGATTAATGAAGTTGAATAGCCATTTCGTATTTATTGACTAATTCTTTTTGTTGTTGTTCAGATTATCTCTTGGGTTCAGTGTTTCTTTGATTTATATATACATGTTTTTAAATACATATAAAAAATAAATATATTTTAGATAAGAGTCCTTTGTTGGATATATGTATTGTAGATACCTTTTCCGTGTTACCAGGGGTCTTTTTGTGAACAGAAGCTCTTAATTTTAATACAGTACAACTTAATCCAACTTTTTTCCTGTATAGTTGGTGCTTTTGTTTCCTATTTAAGATCTTTGTCTATCCCAAGGCTGTAAAGATATTCTGTTAGGCATTTCTTCTATAAGTTCACTATTTACCTTTCACATGTAGATCTACAATCTTTCGGGAACTGATTTTCACATTTGATGTGAGGTAGGAAACAAAATTCAGTTTCTTCCCAAGTGGCTATTCAATTGACTCAGTATCATTTATTGAAATGACCATACTTTTAGAAATGCACTGTTATCAATCAGGAGACTATATGCTATGGTATGGTTTTAAACTGTACTCTGTTTCAGGGGGCTAGCTGTCTATACTTATGACAGTACTGCACTGTTTTAATTATTGCAGCTTTATAGTAAGTCTTGGTATCTGGTAGTATTAGAAGTCCTCCAACTCTGTTCATTTTTTTCAGGATAGCACTAGTTATTTTTAGACTTTCCCAATGTCCACATACACCAAAACCAAAACAAATATAAACACAAAAAAACACTAAAACCTGCTATGATTTCGAAACTCTTCAAATCTATGAACTTGGTATATCTGTATTATTTAGGTCTTTTATATCTCTCAATGTTTTGTAATTTCAGAGTAGAGACTTCGTGTTTTGTTGGATTTATCTCCTAAGCATCTGACATTTTTAAAAAATCAGAAAATAGTATTTTTAAAACTGCATTTTCTATTTAACATTGTCTACATGTCTTTTGATGAGCTTATGGACATGTTTGGCTTGGCTATGTGGTTTAGGAGTGGAATCGCTGTGTCACGGTATACATATATTCATCAGGCACTGTGAAACAATTTTTAGTACCAGTGAATGAAGACTTGAGAAGGGTTCTAGAGTATTGGTAATGCTCTATTTTCTGATCTATATAATGGTTATATGACTGTGTTCAATTTGTAAAAATTCAGAGAGCTGCACACTTAAGATTTTTCTGCATATTACAGTTTTCAAAAGTTTAAAACAAAAAGTCATGTTTTTACACACCTTTGAAGAAGAATCAGGATCCTTTCCATTAAGAAGACCTAATACTTGATTGAGACATGAAGAAAAGTGCTCATACCTAAGTTTAAAATAAAAATATACATCAAATGATAATCATGAAATTGATCCATCAAATAGGATTTATATACAAAATAAATATAAAATTTAAGTGTATTTTCTTTCATCTATTTTGAGCTTCTATTATAGAACAGTCTGCAAAATTTCTACTTACAACTTGAAACATTCTACCACTATGATATACATAAATTGGCTTTGTTATTTATTGAACAGTGAAAAAACAATGATTCCTGTGGCAATAAATGTCATTGAAACTTTCAGTACTTCGACTGCTTTTTTTTTTAAAGCTATGTTCAGTTTGTAAAAATTCAAAGAACATGAAATATTCTAATAAATTAGGCAGCTATTTATTTATAAAGCACTTATAACAGCTAGGCATTATATCAGGTTCTGCAGATACAGAGGTAAGGCACAGGGCCCTGTGTTACAGAACTCTAAGAGCTACTAGAGGTACCAACCACATTATTGTCTATGTAACTAGTGCATCCTGTATTTGGGACAATGATGCTCTGTGAAAGACCTAACAGTCTAAGAATGAAGGCAGAAACATAGAATATTATATAATGTAAAATAACACTATCATGGAAAAATACATAGAATGCTAGGAGGATGAATATCGAATCCAGACTCAGTGTGGCAGGCCTGATCAGATGAGGTTTCCCACCCTTGAGTCTTAAAAAATAAACAGGAATTAGACATATAAAGCCGAAAGTATTCAGAGGGAAGAGCACATGGATACACAAAAGACATTTCTAGCAAGTTGGAGATTCTATTTACTGTCTGAAGTGATTAGACAAAAGTACATAAGAAAATTTAAAGAAATAGGGCTGAGAGGTTCCCAGAGACCAGATTTTAGAGGGCTACACTGAGAATTTGTTTACCTTGAATGCAATGGGAGATCACAGATTTTAGAAGGGACATATGGTTGAGGGAAACGATGAAAGTCAAATATAAGTGAAGGGAGTCAATTGAATGAGAGACATTGAAGAGACAAAAGATACTGTTGAAAAAATAGGACAGAATGAGATTTAATGCACAGAATAAAGGGATGTGTCTTTGAGCAAAACAAGATGACACTAAGAATTGGTATAAACACAAGTAATTTGGTTTAAGAGCAAAAATTTGAAAGAACTCCAATCAGATGGGATTCAGTTTTGTTTTTTTTTTTGTGAAACAAAGATAAGGTCATCTTCTGAGTGAAAAGTGGCAAGAGTAAAGTAGTAAATATTTGAAAGGGCCACTGTAGGAAATGTGAAAGAAAGCTGGGAATAAATATGAGAAGTGCTGCCCAGATAAAGTTAGAGGTAGTGAATATGTAGAATACAGATTCATAAAGTGTGATTTTTCTCAGGTTTTGATTAGGAACCCAGACATTAAATTAGACTTTGGAATAGATCCAGGAACATTTTGCTAAATGGTATAGCAAGTAAACAAGACAACACAATTAAACATAATTTCCTCTCCAGAGGTGATTCTGGAGTTTTAGGCTAGATAAAAAGAAAACAGATAATGGAACTGAGAGATTTACAGGAGAAGTGATTAAGCAACCACTTACAAATGTTAAATCAGGTTATATTTTGGTCCTCCTGCAGAGGCATATCCTTTGTTGTTTACTTAGAAGTTGTTAAACAAGCACCACTTGGTGGCCAGAATGGGTATTACACGAGAGTATATTGGGAGGACTCTTAGAACAGATACAGGGAAGACAAGTAAAGGAAACGCACTCTGGAAGAACGATTTCTTATCCACCTATGCTTAAGAAAAGAAAAAAAATGAAATGGTAATGTTGTAGGATTTCTTTTCCTTTAGTGCCTGCAGTTCTTGGTCCTGGCTGCTTCAAAGAATGAACAGCCAGACCAAAGGGTGATGGACAGCAAAGCAAAGTGTATTGAGTGATAGTACAAAGCTCCGGCAGAGGGAGGGGACCTGAGAGAGTTGCCAATGGAGTTTCTAAGTCTAGGGGTTTTTATGGGCTTGTTGGCGGGCTGTTTTAATCTGATTAATTCTCCAGGAGCCTGTCACCCAGTCAGGTTTTTGTCATCTACCTATCACGTGGGAAAGGGTGGAGGGCTCCTTCTAGGATGGTGTAAAATCCTTTCCTCTTAGGTAGGGGCCCCTTGTCCCTGCCTGCCCTTTTTCCAACTATCCTTTATTACTAATGTGAATGGTTCTTGGTTCTGTAAAACATCAGTTAGCCATATGGGTAGTGGTCAACCTTGCCCTTGTGGTTAGCTTTTGTTTTTTTAATGTCTAGATTCTACATTCCTTAAAATTTGGGACTATGTTTTGTACAATTTCTGGTTCCATGTTTCTCAAAGATTAGGGGCTATGTCTTCAAATTCCTATCTCCACTAACACTCCCACATCCCCCAGTACTTGACCACAGCAGGGGCTCCATAATTGTCTTCTCATTTGTGAATGATTAATTGAACTCTTTGAAGCAATTTCTCCAATTTCCTAACCTACCACCCTACAAAGTGGCTGAGACATTGGGGAAAACTTAAGATATAAAAAGGCCAGGGGTGTCTGGGTGGCTCAGCCGGTTAAGTGTCCAACTCTTGATTTTGGCTCAGATCCTGATCTCAGGATTGTGAGATCCAGCCCTGTCTTGGGCTCTGTGCTGGGTGTGGAGCTTAGTATTCTCTCTCTCCTTTCCCTCTGCCCTTCCCCCACCCTCTTGCTCTCCCCAACCCTCTCTAAAAAATAAAAGTATTAAACAGCCACAAGCTCTTTGGAAAACAGTTGCTAACTGATCTCAAAAGATAAATGATCACATGAAATGCCACTGAGATAGAATGGGCATATAAACATATGTTCTCATTTTACCTTATGACACAAAAGAGGCACATAATGAAGAAAATGTTATTCATTTTTATGCAAAAAAGAAAAATATACTGACATAAATGTCCCTATAATAATATTTTCCCAAAAATTGTAATGTTCAAGATTTAAATCTGGCGCTGGAAAAGATTAATCAAGATGTGTACATTTTAGACAGTGATACAACCTTATTTATCTAAGACAAAGATTGAAACACACCCCCTCACCCCCCATGTTCTTATACTTGTACATTTCAGGCCAGAAAAGCAAAAAGAATGGGAGTAAAGCACATCAAAACATTTCAATTGAGTCCCTTTTCCATTAGTAGAATTCAAGTTTACTAACTCTGAAAAGGCAGTTTTATTAATTACAAACATATCTTGGTTCATTGGAAAGAAAAACAAAACAAAATAAGTCTTAAAATTTGTCAGAGAGCCATACCTGGTAAGATAATCAGCAATTTTAGGATTCTTAAGGAGATCCATCAGTAGATCAACTGAATACTTCCTAGTCAATGTGCCATCACCGTTTATGAGAATATTAAACATTAGCTGAAAAGTTTGATGAATGTTTCGAGCATGGAACAGCTTAAAAACAAATTAGGAAAAGTATATTATACAAAAAAATTTAAGTTGACACCATTCTAAACAAAGTCTCAATGACTCTTAAAATATCAGAGAATATAAATTTCAGAATTATTTTCAAAAATAATAAAAAAAACATACTTACCTTTTCCCCAACCTCTTCATTTAATATCAAACTGGATAATATTGAAAGGGCAAACACAACCACAGTTAAACTACTGTGGGCCAGGAAGCTTATAAGAGTTCGATAAAAAGATTTCACATTATTCTGAGGAAGAAAAAATTTTTTAAATAAATTAGAATAAAAAATTATTAGGTTTATATTTTGGTTTAGAAAGTGTATCTTGCACAGAGTAGGTAAACTTCGATTAAACATCCTTATCAACTTAAATTATTCAAACACTTCCATGGCTCAAGAGAACTTCCACCTCCAAAGTACCTCCAGTACGGAACAAATGAGATATTGTTTAATTTGAAATTAAACAGGTAATATTGGATACTGCATAGCAGGGGAATTGTTCACAAAGTACCTTAAAGAATCAATGAACTTTCTTGATTTGACATATTTCTAACGGTGGTTCAGTTAACCTCATTTGTGTGCCTTCACTCATTACAAGTGCTGGTAGTTGTAGCAGTCATTTATTCATGGATCTTTCTGGTGGAGTTGCCATTGATTTTGTGGAAATGTAAGACCTGAGGTAAATGGAATTGCCAGTGATGTCTGTCCTTTCTATTAGCACAAAATAATTTAGCATTTCTTGTATTATTCAATATAAGAAATAATGGGATGCTATTGAGAAGGAAAACTTTTAGTACTCAACATTTTTATTAATACTTATCATCTTAGATACAACATGTACAAAGGTTGGAATACTTCTAGTTAATTATGTGTCAATCTGTTCCTTAACTTTGATGAGTCAGCTGGATGAGACATGAGAATTCTTGTTAATTTTTTTTTTAAAGAAAAACATGGATATAATTCTCTTTAAGCATAGAGCTCACCACAAATAAGAAAGATTTTATGCAAAACTTACCAAAGTCTTTATGTATGTTTGAACAGAAAGATTGTGCCGACAAAGATTTGCTAATAATCCTAGACAAGGCATTGTTAACTCATCTTCAGAAGACTGACTGTTGTTTTAAGGAAGATAATAAAAGATAAAAGCATTAAATTCATTTTAAATTATTCCATTTTATGGTAATTTACATTTAAACTCCTTTTTATATGTAAAAATGATTAACATGTGAAGACAGTCAAGCTTTGAATAATATTGACCATTCATTTCATATTTTGAAACTACATGATATATTCAATTATAGCACAGAAATATGGAAATAATTGTCAGAATGACCATGTGCTATCTCATCAGTATATTCTCCTACCAAGATTAAACATAAGCATAAAATTTTCAGTTTCAATAGTTTTTCTGTTCAAATCAATTCATTTCATAAATTTTTGTTATGAAAATTAAAGCCGCTTTATACCATTTGATCCCTAAAATCATCTAAAAGGAGTAAACAAGAATTGGAGTCTCACTGAATTTAAAAAGTTGGAAAATATTATCTAAGAAAAACTAAACTATTACATAGTTTTATTTAAAAAAAAAAATCAACAGATTATTTAGTTACATGTTTGGTTGCATACTCACATATGATCTATCAGGAAGGTAATTAACTCATCTATATTGGCACCAGAATGGAAAATTTTGACGTTGTATGTTAATCTCTGCAGAAGCTGAATGCACTAAGAGTAAGAAAATACTAATGAATATAAACATATAAAAACCTATTGCATGCTTACAATCATGGACTTCTAAGCATATTCTGAGCATGTCACCATTTTAGGAAGCAGAGTTTAGAGCAAGAACTTTTCTATTTCTTAAAATGGTTCTGTTCTAATGGTTCTGTTTTTTAAACATAAAGTAATGAGACTACTAAGAATTTTAGGGTTCATCTCCTAATTCCACACATTTCTATACAATCTATCTCAAACAGAGCATCTTGTCATCAACCTGGTTCACTTAAACATCTTAAACATATATGCAAGCTAAAACATATACATATTCCATGAATTCTAAGATATATTTTTTCATATTTTGCCATCTTTAAAACCGCATGTCAGTTTAATTGGTGATGTTTTCCTTCTTGCAACTGATGGCATTTTAGGTTCAACAAAATATCTGTCTGAGAGCTTTGAGTCATGCTAAACAGACTAAATCTATAGCTTTCATTTTTTGTGGAATGTTTCCTCAACAGATTGGGACTAGATGGCAACTCAATTTGCAATTTTAATACGAATAGCTTACATCTCAAAATGTTGACATCTGTGTTTATAAGTCTGTCAAAGCAGTTATAACGTAGATTTGCTTTTCTTCAAAAATAATGCTAGATGTGGATAAACTTCCCTTCTCTAGAAACTTTTAAACAGTAGTACATGTGTGATTGACCAGCTCTTAAATTTATTAACGGTGAGAACTGTCCTATTCATGCAGGATTATGTCGGCATATATAGTATAAATTAGCAATTTACAATATATACTGTCAATTTTGATCTGCAAATAAAGAAGGAAAAACAAGTATTAAGTGAAGAGTACCATGGAGGTGTGTATACCTGCAAAAACACAGAATCACTATGGCAAGTGCTGCTCCGACAAACCACTCCTGCTAGCACGCTATTCAGGTTGTATGTATTCTGAAGGCAGTCTCTGGTTTCACTGTCTACAGCTGCAAGTTAAGATAAAATGGCACCAAATATCACTTTTATATATGGTCTTCATGGATAAGAGATAAATAATTTTAAGTTTATTTCATATTAAATTTACTATGTATAAAAATATCAAGTATGATATGGCTATTATTACCTTCCAATTCAGAATTCTAATCACAGAAATAGTATGAGCTAGAAAAGGAAAGGGAGTATGAGCTTTTCCTTTTTTGTCAATAAACAAATGATTTTTCTATGTGGACTAAATTAAAGGAGAAAACTTGCTTTACATATTTAGAAAAGTTTTGCAGTTAAGAGATAATCATCTCAATTTTTTTGTAATTTAAAACTGCTCTAAAGAATAAGTCTATTAACTAAAAAATAAAACTTAAAAAATAAAATAAAAAGATGTTCATTTTAAAAATTTCTAATATAAATGTTGAAAATGACTGCCATTCTCATACAAAAGGTTGGCGGATGTTAGAATTAGCATAGCCTTTTTGGAAAGCAATTTAATAATGACTATCGAATTGAAAAATGACCTGAAAATCTGAGAATTAATTCAACAGAAATACACTAATATTTGAGCAAAAATACATAAAAATGTATTGATTCTGATAACAAAAACTTGAAAAAGAGCATACATGAGTACCCACCATTAGGAAAGTAGCTGAATAAATTATAGTACTCTACAATATGGTACAAGGCAGATATTAAAAAGACACCAGTATGGAAAGATAGCTAACATGTTAAGTGAAAAAAAAAAAATCTGATATTCTGCAATACCATTTTTTAAAAAACAACCAAAATTATTTGTTAACTGGGCACCTGGGAGACTCAGTTGCTTGTCTGTCTTGGGCTTATGTCATAGTCTGGGGGTCCTGGGATCAAGCCTGGGAGTTGTACTCCCTGCTCAGAGGGGAGCCTGCTTCTCCCTCTCCCTCTGCACCCCCTCCCACCAGGCGCTCTCTCTCTCAAATAAATAAAATCTTAAAAAAAGTATTTGTTAATTTATTTGATCTAAAATAATTTGTTATAGCATAGAAAAAGATCTAGAAAGACACCTATCAAACCATTAAGAAATATTATCTACCAACGTGGAAATGATAAGAGTTGGTGGTGATGAGTAAAGACATTCTATTTTACTCTGTATCTGTGCTAACTTGGTAGACACTAAGCCGCAATGACTATTTAAATTTACATCAATTAAAATTAAAGATTTATTTCTTCAGTCTACTATTCACACTACAAATGCTCAATAGTCCTATGTGGCTAATGACTACTATAATGGAAAATACATATAGAACATTTCCATCATCACAGAAAGTTCCACTGGACATGATAGTCTATGTTAATATTCCTGGATCACTGGGTTTTTTTTATAATAAGCATGCATTAATTTTATCATCACACACAGAATTATCTCCCCTCCACTCTCAAGCACACATCAAGAAAAAAAGTACCCAGGAAATGAAAATTTAAAAACTAAAGATAGAAAAAAGAGTTCAGTATAGTCTATCAAAAAAGGATGATTTTTTTTTTATCACTAGCTATGACTTTTCTGAGTGATGTATTTAATACAGGCATTATGTGCATGTATTTTTCTAAATTCAAAAGTAGGCCAGCATTTCCCAAGATGCTTTCTTTTCTGTAGACCCCTGAACATTTGCTAGCTTCAGATTCTTTGTTCCAATAATTTTAAGAAAGGATGCGTATAATATTCTTTTTATAAGGGATCCACAATGCAAAAAGTTCTGAAAGGTCCTGTAATGACGAAATCTTTTGAATGTGAATCATTCTTCAAAAGATACTATAACTCAATCTGCCCTTACAAAAATATTAAATGCAACATCTTCTAAAAAATGAAAAAGAGAAAGGAAATACATTACCTAGTTGAGACAGCAAGCTGATGATACTTAAGACCAGTGGTGCACTTATGCTTGGGTCTTCAAGTAGCTCCACAAGGCAACTCAAGCATTCACTTGGTAATATCTGATTTGGTGTAAACAATCGTGTGAGTTTCTGCCCAGAAATTACCTACAAAATAGTAATTAAAATGTGTTAGTTAAGAAATGGCAATTTCCATCCCTTCTCCATTTCAAATAAGAACGCAGTTCTTCCAAAGTGCCACTGCCATGCTTTTTTCCAATTTAGAAAAGTCAAATGCTATTCCTTCTGCCTGGAAGATTACCTATCCCTTTTCTCACTAGCTAATGTAACCATTCAGATCCAAGTTTTAATTTGTTTCCTCCTGAAGCTTTCACTAACCCTCTTTCACCAACTAGGTTAGTTTGCCTATTAAACTATCTTATAGCACATTATACTTTTATTTTATGAGCTGGCAAACTTTGACCACCTAGCAGTATTTATCCTCTTTACTACATTGAACACCCTATGAAGGTATAGGGTATAAATCAACACTCTACTGCAATATATTTATTGAGTAAATAAGTTCCAGTACATGCACTCCACCTATTTTGGGGGAGGCAAATACAAAGTGAAAAGTAGCTAAATCCAAAGGCTTAGCTATGGGATTAACTATGTGGTTACTCCTTTTGCTCCCTCCAAAGACAGTAGCTGAGCTCAGAAGTTAGGGATCACAAAAATGGAAGTTAAAAAAAAAAAAAAAAGCTTTTAAGTAGCCAGGTCATGAATAGACAAATTTTATTTTTGGTTATTCCAAAATAACCAAAATTATTTTGGTTGTTATAGGAGTAACTGAGTAGTTAAAGGAGAGTAGCTGAATAAATTATAGTACTCTTCGACCTTAATAAAAGGTTATTTTACTCCTTTCTTAAAACTCTATAAACCATGCTTCCCTTTTCCACGTGAAAAGGTAAAGCTGAGATTGAAGGCCAAAACAGTAGTTAGACAGCCAGGTATTTTCTTTTCTTTTTTTTTTTTTTTTTAAGATTTTATTTATTTATTTGACAGAGAGAGACACAGCCAGAGAGGGAACAGAAGCAGGGGGAGTGGGGGAGGGAGAAGCAGGCTTCCCGCGGAGCAGGGAGCCCGATGTGGGGGCCCGATCCCAGGACCCTGGGATCATGACCTGAGCCGAAGGCAGATGCTTAATGACTGAGCCACCCAGGCGCCCGGTATTTTCTTTTTTTTTTTAAAGATTTTTTATTATTTACTTTAGAGAGAAAGAGAGAGCGAGAAGGGAGAGGGGCAAAGGAAGAGGGAGACAAGCGGACTTCCCGCTGAGTGGGGAGCCCGATGGGGGGGCTTGATCCCAGGACCCCGAGATCATGACCTGAGCAGAAATCAGGAGTCGGATGCTTAACTAACAGAGCCATCTGGGCATCTCAACAGCCAGGTATTTTCAAAAGGCTTTTTGAATGTTATTAAAAGCCTAACTTTTCTATAAAGAAAAGTATCTTTTCTATAAAGATGGAAAAACAATTAGTTACTTTAGAATTGGATAAAATCTGTTGCAAACACTTTTATTTTAAAAAAGATAAGGTCTGAACAGGCTGTTTTAGCACCCCTATAATCTTTCTGTATCTCTCTTTTGTTTCCTCGCCCAGATGTATTTCTTTTAAAACTTTGCTGATATCTGGGGTGCCTGGGTGGCACAGTCAGTTAAGCGTCTGACTCTTGGTTTCAGCTGAGGTCATGATCTCAGGGTCGTGGGATTCATCCCCGTTTTGGGCTCTGCGCTCAGCGTGGAGTCTGCTTGAGCCGCTCCCGCTCGTGTTCACTCTCCCTCTCTTTCTCTAAAATAAATAAATCTTAAAAAAAAAAAAAAAAAGCTTCAGGATATCTGTTCCCAAGGAGCATGTTTTAACATCAAAGTCTAAAAAGACAGAAAAAACAGGTCCAATGGTGAAATTACATACTGATAGTAGTATCTGGAGGGTAAGGAATATTCCGATTGCCCTTTTGCCTACTTATGAAGCTACACTTTTGAGATTAAGACATTTTCTGCTTTAAATACAATTTCCCTTAGGATGAGACCTGTATTTCAACAACGTAAGTACTCTACCATGTAATATTTATTACAAGGTAAAATGTAAAAATTGCTTTACAAATTTTCTTCTTTACTTGGATGTTTTCATGCAAATAGAATTTATTTCAGTAATAACTAATATTTTAGTACTTACTTTGGCCTAAGCATTGTTCTATATATGTTAATTCTTTTCATCTTCATAATAACTGTAAGCTAGGTGCTGTTTTGCAGATGAGTAAACTGAGGCATACACCAAGACAGCAGCATAATTGAAATTCATTGTTCCTGAATCCATGCTCATAACCATTATGTAACATTAGCGCTATAAAAAACCATTAAGAATGAGACCAGCTCAGCTCTGCCAATCATAAACAAATTCAAAGCTCAGGTCCTGCATGGGGCTATAAAGAAAAAATACTGCAGTGCAGAAGTGCAGCAGAATAGCAAAATGAATCATCTCCTTTCACATGGTAACCATTTCTTTGTATCTTCAGATGTAACACCTATTTTGCACAGATATTCACCGTTAACATCACCCACCAAAATGGTTAAAATTTAAAAATCTGAAAACACCAAGGATCTATGAGGATGAGTGACAGCAAATTTCATGTGTTGCTGATAGGAGGGTAAAAATGGTGTAACCTGTGGAAAACTGCTCGGCAGTTCAGCTGAAACTGAACATCAACCTACCATAAGACCTAACAATCCCACTCCTAGGTATATAAATGAGAGCATATATCCAAAAAAGGTATGAAAATGTTTATAACAGATTTATTCAAAATTCCACCCAGACCTAGAAACCCAATTGCCCATTAACAGAATGTACATAAGCTGCGGTACATTTATATAGTGGAATTCTACACAGCAATAAAAAAGAATGAAGTACTAGCACATGTGCAACATGAATAAATTTCACAGATTTATAGAATGGAAGAAGCCAGACACAAAAGTACATATCTTATGAGTCCACTTATCTGAACGTTATGAGAAGGGACAATTGAAAAAAACCTTATAGGGAACTGGAAATGTTCTGTATCGTGGAACAAGCGGTAGCTACTTGATTGTACACATATGTTAAAAACTCAAACTCTTCACTTAAGATTAATGCACATTATGTACTATATGTACTTTATCTCTCTAAATGGCAGAAGTTTTCAGTATAACCCTTAAAAGTTCGGGAATGTATCCAGGAGTTAGTCTCTAAGCCTTAAATTTCTTTGAGTCTCCTTCAATTCACTATAACATGGCTCTCAGATTCAAGGCATATCAGTTTGTTTTTTTTCAAAGAGAAGTAATGTTTCAGATTAGTATTCAAAATGCTGTATTCCTACTTCTTAAATAGAACCGCTCATTCTGCGGCTTCTGGAGCCCACCAGCACATTGTTCTATTCTGAGAAGCAAAGCCTCAGCAGTTAACAGCTAACACCTCAATTATTAGGTTTGCAGGGATTTGTTGAAATAATGAATGAAAAAAGAAAATGTACTCAGGAAGGGTGGATACTGAAGTCATAAGAAGCATCAGTGAAGCTGGAGAAAACAAAGGCATATTTAATGCACTCCAGTATCACCAAAGATTGATGTTCCCCTACCATTCACAATCGTCTTTTCTCCGTAGCATGTATTTTGCTAATCTTTGGTAATTTAGCTTTTATATCATAGAGTTAATATAACAAAATATATAAGAAAAGCCGTAAGCAACTGGTTCAGATTGTAAACTGCCTAAGGGACAAGGAATAAAACAATCGTCACTCCCCATCACCTCCACCCCCGAGAATTTGTGTATTCTATTCTGTAAGAGCTCTGTTGCGATGGAAAAACCAAAGAAACGAAGGAAAACAGAGCTCCGAACTTTCTCTACTAATCCTAAACATAGTTTAAATTCCCCAACCTATGTCACACCTTCCCGTCTTCCTAGGACTTTTGAGTAGTCCCTCTTCCCTCTAGCTGCAGTCAGCTGAACGCGGAGGGACTTGGGGAAGAGTAAGAAGATGGGTGGGAATTCAAGGCTGACACTCGCCTTCCTTATTAATACAAAAAGACACCTGAGGGAGCGAGGAGCAGTCCTTCCTTTCCTAGACTAGGGCAGCTACACTCTGGCCGCACCACGAACTAAGGATTTCTACAAGGAAGCCCGTCTAGCCCCTCACCCTGGAGCCCCTCACCTCCAAGTGCCGCAAAAGCTGGGTGGCATTTGCCTCCGACTTAACGGCTTTATACTGACTGATGGTCAGGAGCAAGGACTTCAAGCAGGCGGTAGAGTCCATTGGTACCCTCCACAACCCCTCCTGGGGGCCACCACCTGCCAGCACCGGCCTCCAGCTTTCGCCGCGCTTTTTTTGATTTTTCAGCTCCACCCCCTCACTCCCGATGCTTCCGGTTCCGGTAGGGCTCCGGAAGTACCTAGGCACTCTGGGGAGCTGCTCGCAATGAAAAAGGGGAGAAGTGGGGAGGAGGGTCGAGGAGGTCTGTAGGTTCACTACGGGGGCTGAGAGCTGTGCTTCCAGAACCCCCTTCCCACTACCCACCGTGTCCTCGCCTAGCTGAAAAGCCGCGAGGTTTTAGCTTCGAGATCTCGTGGAGACGATAAATCTCGCGAGAAATGTGATTGCGGCTCAACTTGTGAAGGGGCGGTTAGGCGGAAGAGGGTCCGTGTTCGTCACAGCTCTCAGTTTCTGTTTGCTACTTCGGCCTTCACGTTGCATGGCCGGCTTTTCTTTTGTGCGTGAACCGCTACTTGAGAAATGGTCGCTTTCCCCTAGTCTAGACACGGTGAGGAGCTCTGAGGAGAATCTTGGGCTCTAGATTTTGAGGCGGCCTGGGAGGGACCTCTTTTTAAAATCCCTCCTATGTCCACCCTTTCTACCCAGGAATGTTTGTTTTTCAGAGTAAGCCTATGACCATTGGGATTCTGTGGCAAGGTAGTTATGCCCTTAAGATAGTCGCCAAACTTATTACAGAAAGCTAGCTCCTGGTGACTTCTGGGCCAGGTATTGCTGCGGAGGGTGTTCTCATTAGCGTCAGTTTTTGTAAGTGAAGGTATCTATTTTTATCTGGCATGATCGAATGTTTTCTAAATCACGGTGTCTCTGAACATGGCACTGTCGTTTGCAGTTTTTGATAAGAGGTAATTATTGTGCATGTGTATATAATGAACTGAGAAGCTGGTTCTGGAGTTTTTTTTTTTACGTATGTTAATGTTGAATTAAGCTTTAAAAACCAGTTTGGAGAAAATTGTAAGAGTAGGGTACGTGTTCTCTTAATTAAACCATTTGTCATTAATCATGTTTTGTCAATTCAAAGAAAATATTTTTACATCACTACATTTTTAAAGGCAGGATTTCTTTTTATATTTTTTAATTAAATCTGAAAGCTTACAATCTAGCCAATTGAGACATACATGTAAAAATAACTGGGTAATGTATCTATGCATTCATTCTGTAAACAATTATTGATTGTAAAACGGGTTAGAAGTCATGAGAGAACAAAGATGAAGTATCCCCTGCGGGGAAGCAACTGTCTAATTAGGGAAATGTACTAAATAGGTAGTACATAGGGAATTCATGTAAGTTAGAGGCACGATGCAGTTATTTAAAGAGTGAAGCCAGACTGTGTACTTACAAATTCTAGTTCCACCTTTTACTATGTGGCCGTGAGGCAGATTCTCAGTGCTTCAGTTTCTTCCTTAGATAAAATCCGGCTAATAGTAGTACCTGTTTAATAAGATAAGGTCAATAAATAATTCAGTAGGTCATTGAGAGCCTACAGTGTACTAGGTACTTGTCATAGGCACTAGAGATTTAGTGAATAAAAAATCCTGTTACGTAAATTACATTCTGGTAGGGGGAATAAATAGTAAGGAGAAGTGACAGGAGAAAGAAAGGAGAGAGATGGAGAAAGAAAAATTAGCCGAGTTATTTGAGAGTAATGGTGATTGGAAGAAAAGAATTGGGAGGTCAGGAAAGAGAAAGTAATATTTGAGGAAGTGCTTCAAGCTGTTGAAGGAGAGAGCCATGCTCTCCAGGAGAAAAAGTTCTAAAGTGGGACCATGAAGTTTGTCAGGAACAGCAAGGATGCCACTATGACTGGAGCAGAGAGCAAGGGTGAGAGTAGCAGTAAAAATGAGGTCATGTCAGGTGGTGTAAACCATTATAAAATGAGTTAACTTAAAAAATTTAGAGCAGTTGGCTGGCATAATTCTCAGCAGGTGTTAGTTACCTCTTGATTCATTGGCAAATGCAGTGATAACAGTTCGGTTAGTGTTAGACTTTTCACTAATAATAACAAATGCGTCATCTTCATACTCATTCTGAGCCAAGGGAAAAGGTCCAAGCTGCTAGTTGTAAATGCCATCTTTCTTTAAAGTCTTGCATTTTAACTTCAGTTATATAAAATTTGTATTCTCTTCTGTAAAATAATCACTTTAATATAAAATAATGTCTTTCTCAAAAAATCTTAAAAAATTGATGTTGGAAGTTTAGTAGGATGTACCATGATGGTGTCTGTGAGAAGCCCTCATGTATTTAAGCAGAAATACTCCAATATCCTAATACTGAGAAACACAGAGCCTTATTTTAGGCACCAGAAAGGGGGGGAAGGAGGAGGATGAGATGAAGCTTGGTCCGGATGACTAAAGACCTTATTATTCTTGATCCTGAATTCGGAGGTGATTTCTAGTTTTAAAAATGAGGCCTGATCTATTTAGGTTTGTGCTTTAGGTTGATTACTCTGGCAGCTGGGTGGGCTAGGATTTTGAGATGGATAAGGTTAGAAGGAAGGAGAATGTTTAATTTGCTGCTCTCTTTCCAAAAGATTACCAGGGTAATTGAAGTGGAGGTAACAAAGAGGTGACAAATTTGAGAAATATATATGAAGTGAAATAGGCAGGACATAGTGACTCTTATTTCAGATATGAAGAGGGATTTCAAGTTTCTAGTTTGGGTGACTGAGAAGATACAGATATTGCTGAGGTAGTTAATAGTATTCATGTTGTGGTTTATGTTCAGTGAAATTTTATATAATTTATCATATAGTCTTGTATTAAGTTTCTTCCAGGGCATTATATAATTTTTGTTAATGTGAGTACGTTCTCTTTTTCTCCTTTAAAATTTTAATTTGTTATTGCCGCTGTGATAAAAGCTGATTTTTGATACATCTTTTATCCAGACCCTGACTAAAATCTTATTAATTTTAATAGAGTTTTGCTTACTCTCTTAGACTTTCTAGCTGCATATCATCTGCAAATAATTTCATCTCTTCCAATATTTGTTGGCTTTATTTCATTAATGCATGCCAAAAAAAAAATGGAATAATTATGGTGATACTGAACATCTTTGTCTTATTAATTGAATGGGAATGACCAGTATTTTAACACTTAGTATAATTTGTGCTATTGGCTTGTAATAAACAGCCTTTCAAATGTTTAGGAGATTGCCCTTTATACCTGTTTTATTTAAAGATTTTCCAAAATGTCTACTTAAAAAGATGATCAAATATTTGTTTATAGATCTCATTTTCCACTTTAACATGATAATGCAATGTATTGTTTTGCTTTTTTGCTCTTGGGATAATAGTAGCTAACACTTAGTGAGCATTTGTTATATGTCAAGCACTATTCTAAGAATTTTATTCTTACTAATTAATCTTCATAACAAGTTCATGCATTAGGTACTATTATGATCTCCATTTTACAGGTGAAAAAACTAAGGAGAGGTGAAATAATTTGCCCAAGGTCATACAGGTAATAGTAATAAACCTTGTATTTGCTGTACTGCAAATATTTTATTTAGGATTTTATATTTGAAATTTTTTCATTAATTTTTTTTAGTTCTCTTGGAATTTGGGTTATATGTTACTTTTGAAAAATGAGTCAGAAGTTTTTCTACTTTCTATACTATAGGATGAGATTCACATTGGAATCATCTGATCCATGTAGATTGAATACAACTGGCCTATAAAATCAAGCATGATACCTTATTTAATGGTAGATCTTTAGAAAATATTTGAATTTGTAAAATGGTTATAGATCTGATACCTTTTTTCTACCTTAAGTTTGGAAATAGAAATTTTTTTAATGCAACTATTTCTTCAGATTTACAGATTTTTTGATATAAAGTTCATCAGTATTCTAGTAATTCTCTTAATCTCTTCATTGTAGTTTTAAATTAACTTTTTCATTGTAATGTTATCTGTATTTTTTCTTATTTGGGCTTTCTAGGGGTTTGTCTGATGTATTCAGCTTTTCAAGAACCAACTCTGATTTTATTCTTTTTTTCAGAATCACTAATTTTACTTTCATGTTTATTCCATTCATAGGGGTTTGTCTATTTTATTCAACTTTTTAAGAACCAACTTTGTTTTATTTTTTCTTTTTTTAGAATCATTAATTTTACTTTTATGTTTATTCCATCCATATGCAATTTTTTCTTTATTCTTATAGTTTTTAAAAGTTACAGGTTAGCATATTTACATACTATATATATTTTCATAAAGAACATTTATTTATGCGCACATATTTTAAGAAGACAGTAGCTAAGGTGAGCATCTGTATTTCACTTAAAAAAAAAAAGGTAAATTAGTTTAACCAACCAGATAGTTTTTTTAAAATACTAATATTCCTTAATATTCAAAGAGCTAGGTTCTGTTAGACAAACCAGAATAAGTGCTGTTCAGAAAAATAGATTAACTTTAGGAACACATATTTTTTAGGGCAAAATATCAATATCTTCAAGGTTTGGCTTGAAATCCCTTTTCTCCATAAATTTTTATTGCTGTCCTTTATATTTGCATAGATATTTTTCTTAATTTGTAGTTCCAGAAACACATTAAAGGGAGTTTAAAAAAAAACTTGCTTAGGATCTTACAACTCAGTATTAGGGCTGCCTGTCTCTTTATTTCTTTTGGAAAAACTTAATATATCTTCAGTACTGAAGAGTAAAATGGAAATTTGTAATGTCTCATGACCAGGGCTGAATTCCTGTTAGATAAATCAACCTGAATGAAGATACAAATTTTTGACAGAAGTGCGGAGTTTCTAGAATACTAAATATTATAGTATGAAAATTATACCAGAAGTGTGAACACAGGTCTAATTGTTCATTTACCCACCATACATTTAATGAGTGCTTGAGTGGTAAGTACATTTCTGAGTTCTGGGGTTATGGCAGTGGATCAAATAGACAAAAAATTTCTACCCAACTAGACCTTTTATTTTAATGCAATATATAGACAACAAATAAGACCTGTAAGTAAAATATATGAATGTAGCAGTAAGTGCTGTGGAGGAAAAGAAAAGGAAGAGGGATAGGAGGTATCGGAGTCAGGATGGAGTGTTGG